ATGGTAGTCTTTTAAGGGGTTGAATAATTGTGGCAATGAAGAAACACATAAGAACATTTACTACTGTATTACATAAACAATTGATGTCATTTTAGTTGCATTTGGGTAGTTTACAACGTCCTTGTAGGATTTGATTCTGAATACAATTCCAAATGTACACTATATCCAGTCCCTAAAAAACCCCTTTACAGCCATTGGGGGTTGAATAATTTTTGGACCAACATTGTATATATAAAAAATTACTAGTGTCCATAAATATATTAATATGCCAAATTAAAAGGTGTCAGTCTATGCAGATCTGGGTGTGAGAAAACAGCAGAATCCAAATAATGGTGCTCCAAATAGTGTGGTAAAATTGCGTACTCACCAGATGCGTAATGCATATACTCATTAAATGGTAGCTATCGGTGTATTTTCTTGGCGTGCAGGAGCTCCACTTGAACCTCATAGGAGGTAGCAGCATTTTAGTGGAGCTCCTGCACGCCAAGAAAATACACCGATGGCTACCATTTAAAGCCCATCTTGATCCAGCCACCCACCATTAACCAGAGAGAGGAGTTCCTTAAAGCAGACACCCACACCCGTCCGTCCCTTAAAGGGACCTCTGGCCAGCTGGATCCTGTATCTTCCTACGAACCCCTGACAGTGCCACCATACCTTGAGGGAGGATCATCCTGGATTAGGACCTTATCCAACTCATAAATAGGACCTCTACATACCCATATAATGCGTATATACCCAGGGCGGACTGACAACTCATGGGGCCTCCGGGCAATAGGGGATCATGGGGCCCCTGTGTTCTTACCCAAACTCAAGAAATCCTATGAAAAAGGTACCAGGGGCATCTCATGGGACCCCCTACTGACCTCGGGCAGTGCCTGAGTTTCCAAATGGTCAGTCCGCCCCTGGTATATACATTACGCATCTGGTGAGTGCGTAATTTTATCACACTATTTTGAGAGCACCATTATTAGGATTCTACTGTTTTCTCGCACCCAGATCTGCATAGATTGACCCATTTTAATTTGGCATATTAATATATTTATGGACACTAGTAATTTTTATATTTGTCTCTAGCGCTGCACCTTTTACTTTTATTATGACTGTTTGGAGGTTTTTTATTGGTTGCCTTTGGTGCTATAGCTGCTGATTTTAAAGAGCGCTCACTTTCTTTTTATACTTTTATTGTTCACATCTATGCTTTTTTGAGTTGTTGCGTTATTGGAAAGGGTCAGGGACTTTTTTTTTTTAAAGCAAAAAGCAGCGTTTTTGCTACAATAGTGTTCAATATAGAATCTGCTGAAATATATGGTAGTTCTTTTTTTTTTTTTTTTTTTTTTTTTTTGTCACGTTTTTGTGTTTTGCATTTTTATTCTGTCCAAAAAAAAAGTCCACATACAAAAAAAAAGCTGAAACAACGCAAAACGCAGTAAAAATGCAAAACGAACTGCGACAAGCACTGCAAACACGGACAAAAAGCAAACTGCATAGGTGTGAACGGAGCCTTTTTGTGAGTTGAGTTCAGGGGCTTTGGCAAAAAAAAAACGCCAAAAGCTCCTAAACTCTCACATTTTAGGAGCAGCAGTGTACATGAGGCCGCAGAGCGCTAGCATGCATGGAGCCGTAATAGTTCATTTTATGTTTCCCTGTCCAGCCACCGACATCTAATTCTTGGCTCGGACTGTAGGAGTTTTAGGGATTCTTGGGCTATAAAGCTGATCATGTGATTTTTTTCATTGTGCTGGCTCATTACATGACATGACACAGCAAAATCTGCGATTCTGCTCTCTATAGAGTCCGATCAGACGGCTTGTCTGATGAGAAGCAAAGTTGCTTTAGTTGAATTTTTCTGCCTGAACTTCTGTCAAAGAGGTGCCCCAGTCTTGACCCTCCCTGCACCGGTGAATATGTAAAGTCAGCATTTCGAATCGCTGAATGTTTTGGGAGTCCCCTCTGTAGCGTCTAGAAACAGTTGAGTGTTTTAAATGAGTGTGTAACTTTCGGGATTAAACCGGAGCGAGTTAATGCATTGTGTCCAAATGCAAAGCATCAGGGTTTCTCTGGAGCAGCATGGTACTGATTACAGAGCCTATTGGAGATCTTGATGTAAAGAGTGCCGACCTCATCAAAAATTCCACATGTCAAGCTAAGTGCAATGTGCAAAGTCAGATAACACGTCAGCCAATCAGATTCAGTTTTTGCTAAAGGACTTTAATAAATGAAATCGGATTGGTTGGCACAGTGTGCTGTGCTGATTGGTAATTTAACTGCGCCTGGTTTACTAAAGGAGTTGATCATTTCCACACAAATTGTGTAAAATATTCACAAAAGCTATCCAATCATGCAAAAAGCAAATTCATTGCATTTATTTTATCTGCACGTGATTGGGCATTCAGCCCGGGTTCGCACTGGTGCGCATCGGTTTCTGTGCAATTTTTCGCACCGCATCATAATCGCACCCTGTTCGTACGAACTGCTGCGGGTGTGTATTTTAACCTCCCTGGCGGTATGATTCTTTCCGGGTGTTTTTTTTTTTTTTTTTTTTTTTTTTTGTGCTTGAAAGCGGTACCATTTTTTTGCATGGAAATATGTAGTTTTTTATTGTAGGCTGTAATTTTTAGGAATAACTCACTGAAATCTGTACGAACAAGAGTCTAGTAAACATTCCGGATATGATGAAACTTGAAACACGAAATCATAAATTTATAATTTAATAAATCATAAAAAATAATATATAATAAATTTAATTCAATATTATAATCAAACCAGAAACACTGAAATTTGAAATACAGAGGCAAATTCGCACATCGCTGAGCAAAGTCACAAAATCATTTTCAGTGTCTGATGACGAATTTCCCCCACGAATCATTATCACTCAATTCTGCAAGTGGTTCTAATTTACTATCGCTGTTCTAAAACCGCTTTTGACGTAAAGGGACGCTTTTTGGACGCCATGGACTTTTCTAAGTTTCCAGGCAGAAAGAACATTCAAAATGCAGGCAGGGCGCCGGACAAAGCAGTAGGGACAAAATGTATGTGAAATGCATTGAAACAGCAAAAATGAAATTTTTAAAAAATTTCAAATTTCCTGCCGGTTCCGGCGCCCGTACGTCCCGACGTCACAGGGACCGGAACACGGAAGCCGGATGCTGGCATCGGCCGGAGGAGATGGCCTGGGACGCTGCAGGGGACACATCGCGGGAGCGAAGGACAAGGTAAGTGCTGCAGGGACTCCCTGAGCAACGCCGCATGGTAAGCCCGAGTGTAGCTTGGGGTTACCGCTCTTGGTATTGAAATTTTACCCCGAGCTATACTCGGGAAAACCGGTAAGGAGGTTAAGTTGACTCCCCGAAATCAATTCGCAAAACGCGGTGTGATGTGCAGAATCTGTGTGAAAACACCTGCGATCCGATTCTGGTGCGGACAAAAAAAAGGGTCCAGCACTTGTTTTATGCGGTGCGATTTGAGCATGGCTCAGATTGCACCACACAGAAATTGGATGTGATTTGCACAGGAATGCGGTGCCGTTCCTGTGCGAATCACGTGCGATGTGCAGCGTTGCATTAGTTTAAACCCCGGGCTCAACGTGAACAAGAAATTGCTTTTCATATAATACATATACAGAACAATTTAATTACAGTGTAACTCCACTTTTGTTGAGAAAAAAAACCCCTCTGGGCGATCCATTGCAGGAATTTCAACAAACTTTGGCTGGTCATACACGGGCCGTTTGGTCTTTGCCTATGCTGCTACCAATGTCTATGAAAAACTGCTGTTTTTCGTGAATTTTCCAGCATGACCGATTAAAAAGAAACGAGGAGATCCACGAAAAACGGCCGATGGCATTGCCCCAGTAACGGCGTGAATATCGGCTGATTTTTCGTGCGGACGAAAATTCGGCCAATAAACAACCCGTCTATGGCCTGCATTAGTTGCAGATTCCTACCTTTTTTGTTGCTCTGCGGAGTTGGCTGATTGCATGTCTGTATCCCATGTGTAAAGTGAATGGGAGTGACTTCATAATTATCAATCAGCTGCTGCCCTTGTAGGGTTCTAAAGAGGAAAGTGGCAGGGTCTGCATCCTTTTAGACGAGATTTCCCTTTGGGAGTATCATACCAAAAATGACAATTGTGTTGCAAGGGATGCCCAAAATCTGACATAAACTGTGCAATTTATACCAACATAAACCTACTAGTGCAATCACACATCCAACAATTCAGGAGTTACTAACAAACTCTCAGTGCTGTAAATCAAACTAAGTGTACACATGAAGATGTTTAGCTCTCCTGGCAGCAGAAAAACAACAAACGTGGCAAAAATGTGTTTAGTGCTTGGACGTTTATTTGTTTGATTGGACGTTTATTCGTTTGATTGGACAGAGTATTTTCCATTGACATGAAGATGCCCAAGAGCTAAAATGTTTAGATGCAATTTTGCCACATTTAGCCTTTTTTGGCCAAAACGTTCCTCTCCAGAAGACTATTCTTCCCTCCCTTAAGATACAAGTCAGATTTTGAGCATCCCCTGCAACAGAAATGTTATTTTTGGTGAAGAAAATCTCATCTAAAGGGATGCAGACCCTGCCTGCCACTTTACTCTTTAAAACCCAGCTGATTGATAATTGTAAAGTCACTCCCATTCACTTTACACATGGGACACAGACATGCAATCAACTAACTCTGTTGCAGATTCCTACCTTTTTGTTGCTCTGCGGAGATTCAGAGACTTCAGGAGATATGTAAATGGCCTACATCTATAGCAAGGACAATATTCAACTTTGGTCAGAGCCGTGCAGCTTGTTTTACCTACAAACACCCGTTATCTGCAGTTTTTTTGGTAAAGATTAACTTTGCCTTTTTATGTAGATTTCCAATTGCTTCCTGTCCAGGAGACAGAGAATGAAGAAGATATCCATTGTAAGGGCTGGTTCACACCAAATGCAGTCCTTCTTCTTCTTTTTTTTTTTCCAAAAACACATGCTCAGTAGATTATATGGGTTCCAATGGAATAGTTCACACCAGTGCAGGCTGTTCCAGTGTGTTGCAGTTCAGAAATTATAAAAAAGTAGAACATGCTGCATTTTTTGTTCTGCACAGAACTGTACTGGAAAGAGACAAAGCCAGGGGCGGACTAACAACTCATGGGGCCCCTGGGCAATTGGGGATCGTGGGGCCCCTGTGTCCTTGCCCAAACTCAAAAAAAGCCTATGAAAAAGGTACCAGGGGCATCTCATGGGGCCCCCTACTGACCCCGGGCCCATGGGCAGTGCCCGAGTTTCCAAATGGTCAGTCCGCCCCTGGAGACAACAGAAATGAGGCATGGCTCCCAACTGGACTCCCAACAATTTTGAAAGAAAAGGTAACAGAGTTGCGTCCCTTTCTCATGGATCAGTCCGCCCCTGGACAAAGCGCTTAAAAATGCATCACATGAAACACCTTGGAAAAAAAATGAAAACCGCATGGAAGCACATAGAAAATGCATAAAAAACGTGCATGCAGAAACACAGCTGGAATGAGTTTTTGTGGTGTGAACTGTAAGCAAAAACGCTGATTCTGTATGTGTGTCTGTTTTTTTGATGCACTCTGGTGCGCTCCCCCAACCCCAACCCCCCCCCCCCCCCCCCCCCCCCCCCCCCTTCATCTCAATTGGGGACATGTGTGTCCCGGTGCATTTAGCCGCTTTCCAGATGCGTTCGATACAGAAAAAAATGCAACATGTTTGTTCTTTTGTTGACTGCACTGGAATGCCCTGCACTGGTGTGAACTAGGACCATTGGAATCCATGTTAAACACTGTGCGTGGGTTTTTGATGCAGAATAAAAATGCACTGGACTGCATCTGGTGTGAACCAGCCCAAATGGAGGGAAAATCTCCTAAGGATGGGTTCAAACTACCCACTCGTATGAATGGGTCCTAAAATGTTGGATTTGTCATCACTTTTTTTTTTTTTTTTTTTTCCAGGTCAAATAGAGAAGGGTGAATCTGCCAAGCTGGGCCGTGGCAAAAAAAAAGTTTAATACCTCAGCACCCTATTCATAACTAAAGTTTTGCGTTCAGTATATAAAACCAGCGTGCGGTGCCATGCGCACCGTAGTGCCAGTCTCCTCTTCAGAGGCCTGAGGCCTACTGGCTCCTTCTCATTGTTTTCAGTTCTGTTCCATCAAGAAAAAACTTGCTGTGAAGCATCTACCAGAGTTGGAAAATTTAAAAAAAAAAAAAATCGCCCTGCCGAAGCCTATAAAGTTTAAAAAAAAAAACAGCATCTTGACAACAAGAGCGGGCACGCTTGTTTTGGCTGCGTTCACTCCGCTCTGTGGAATTTTCACATTCACCTCGGTCTGAGATAAGACCGGCTTGTTTACAAATGTACGGCCTCAGAATTTACATGGAGGCCTACTTGGAAACCACCTGGATACATTTTATGTCCTGTCACAGGACCTTGCTGTTACCCTTTATTAGCCAGGAGATTCTTTTCTGTGCCTCTCTGAATTTGTTTCACTTAGTTACTGTGACCTGAGTTTCCCTGAATTCATGCTTTAAAAAAAAGTTCTATTCAAGTATACATTTGTGAGGTCAGGCACTGATGTCGGATGAGAAGTCCTGGTTTTCAATCCGTTCTGCTAATTCATCCCAAAGGTGTTCTATGGGGTTGAGGTCAGGACTCTGTGCAGGCCAGTAAAGTTCCTTCACCCCAAACTCGCTCCTCCATGTCTTTATGGACTTTGTGCACTGGTGTGCAGTCATGTTGGAACAGGAAGGGACCGTCCCCAAACTCTTCCCACAAAGTTGGGAGCATGAAATTGTCCAAAATGTCTTGGTATGCTGACACCTTAAAAGTTCCCTTCACAGGAACTAGGGGGCCAAGCCCAACCCCTGAAAACCAAACCCCATACCATAATCCCCCTCCACCAAACTTTATACTTGTCACAATGCAGTCAGGCAAGTACCGTACTCCTGGCAACCGCCAAACCCAGACACGTCCATCGGATTGCCAGACAGAGAAGTGTGATGGGTTACTCTATAGAGCATGTCTCCACTGCTCTAGAGTCCAGTGGCGGCGTGCTTTACACCACTGCATCAGGCGCTTTGCATTGCACTTGGTGATGTAAGACTTGGATGCAGCTGCTCGGCCATGGAAATCCATTCCATGAAGCTCTCTACGCACTGTTGTTGTGCTAATCTGAAGGCTGTATGAAGTTTGGAGGTCTTTAGCTATTGACTCTGCAGCCAGTTGGCGACTTCTGCGCACTGTGTGCTTCAACATGCGCGGACCCCGTTCTGTCATTTTATGTGGCCTACTACTTCGTGGCTGAGTTGCTGTTGTTCCCAGTTGCTTCCACTTTTGTTATAATGCCTGTGTGACAACGCAGGGGAGTTATTGAGAAAGCAGGATAGAGTGTTGTCACCCTATCACTGGAAGTGCCTGAACAAGAACCTTCCTGGTAGGATCACCAGGTGATGCACAGAACATGCCTGTGCCGTGGTGACTTGGTCTTTTATAGACATTCTGTAAACACACACTTGGTCATGCCTGTAAGTGTAATCCAAGTTTGAAAATATGAACTCTTAATAAAATCTCCCCAATAGGGATACAGATGGCAATAAAACTTGCCAAAGACTCTAACCCTGCCTGCCTTGATCCAAAAGAAAAACAAAAACCTTTATGGCTGGAGTTGGGCTTGAAGCCCCCGGATAACTCTGAACTGCCAGAAAAAATGGCATTTTTAGGTGATCAGCCGTGTTTGTCCCCATATTTCCCTCCTAATCATCTCCTAGTAAATCCGGCTGCATTCGCTCCTGAGCTCAGGAGATTTTTGCATACATCGTTGTGAATGCCATTAGTAGCCTTTCCCAAGTAACTGTTTTTGTTGCTTCTTTAACTTGTCTGCCTCTGAAGGAACCGGTGAGACTTGTTTGTTTATCTCAGTAGCAGCGTGGAGATATGAAGGCAGCAGGTTGTGCAACCCTGACATCCGTCATTAGTAAAGGAAGGTTAATTAGGGTGTGCGACACCAACTCGGATATAGCATTACCAGTCATTCCATGGACATAGCTGGGTGACAGATGATGGATGCTGTTCTGCTGAAATATGAGGCAGGACACTTGAGGCTACTGTATAATCCTGTCTGTAATCTGTCATTATTACCGAAATAAAGGAGGACTCTAGGACAGGGGTCCCCAAAGCTTTCAGTACAAGGGCCATATCATATTTTACCATCGTAATCAATTTTATACAAAAATCAAAATTAAATTTAATGTTTTATTTGGAATTTTTTCTGCTATGATATGATTACAGATAAATGGCAGAAAAAAGTTGAAATAGCCCATCAGAGCACCCCCGTACATCAGGGTCCCCATCAAAGTCCCCCTTACAGCAAAACATCCCCTTTACATAAGTCACTTTTTAGAGTGTTTGACCCCCGCCCCCCCCACCCCCCCCCCCCCCCCCCCCCCCCCCCCCTTACATGAGTCCCCATCTAAGTCCCCCTTGCATGAGAGTCCCCATCAGAGACCCTTACCCCCTTATGTAGCAAACATGCACACAGAGATGGATGCAAACCTCCATTTTGGGCAAAGGATCTTCCACCTTGTATCATTTCTACTCCCAAATCCATTTCCTCATCCCCCCTCCCTCTCTGTTGAGTGACATGTGGTCTGTTTGATGACAGAGATCACAGGCAGCAAACTCATTGGGAGGACATAATGGCTATAAACCCCACTAGCTGGTGCCCCTATGTCTGCGAGACTCTTGCTGGAGAAGGGATCGTAAAACCATAAACCAAGCCCTCACTGAAGTTCAGAGACATTCCAGGTAGTCGTAAAAACAGACTTGCATTTAAAAACTCACTTTTCCATATAATTTTATATCTTCAAATAGGACATAATTACATAAACATGGAGCACATATTAGGACGGCTCACTTTAATACAAATCTCCTGGTATATTACACCCCCTAGCTGGCATATACAGGAGAGCAGAAAATTATATCTCCTTAACCATCCAAGCAGGTATGTCATATTTCATATCTAACTGTTCAGCAGATGTCTGCATATTTGCATATTACTCTACTAGTGGCCAGTCTGCTAAATGCACGGAGAATAAGTTATGAACCATGACATCATAGCTTGGGTCTCCGCCTGCAACACCTCCCCAAATGAGGCGATTGGTTTTCTGCTTTAAGGAGACACCCTGCTGAGCTAAGCTGAGTTTAAGAGAAGTTGAAGATTCCCCCTTTTGTCATCGGAACTAACTTTGGGAGATAAGGCATCCTTTTGGCTCTGAAACCTTAACCCAAGGCTGACGGCAAGTACTTTATCTATCTAAACTTCCTTCTGTTATCTCTTTGCGAGTGTTATTGCTTTGTATGTGTGTGTATGTATGTATGTGTGTGTGTGTATATATGTGTGTGTGTGTGTGTGTGTGTGTGTGTGTGTGTATGTATATATATAGATATATATATATATATAAATTATATATATATATATATATAGCATCTTTTTCTGTAAATATTTTTTATTGCACCCTTTTGACCTTTTTAGTAATAAATCTTGCTTACTGAAAGTGGTGAACTGTTTCTAAAGCTCTTTAATGCAAACTAAGAACCCCTGCCTCTGAAGAGCTCTACTGGGTGTGTGTTTTAAACTTCTGTATATCCTGTCTGCGGTGACAGTGGTATACCCCACGCTTATTCAAACATCATGGTGTTGTTGCTGATATTGCCGAGTTTCCTCTCTCTGTACAAAAAGGAGGTGGTGGCAGTGTGAAGGGTTAATTGCGTAATTAACTTGACCCAGTAACAATCGCTCCCAGGCTGCCGGCACACAGGTTGTGGTCCATTAGCTGGAAAATCTTTGTGCAGGGTGCAGCTGGATGTGGCATTGTTACGCATGTGACAGCGCGGTTTTAGATTGGCTAGTCCTTCGGTCACGTGTTTGGTGAGAAGGGCTGGGGTCTGATGCCGCGATAGTCACACCGTATATCAAGGTTCCCATCAAAGTCTCCCTTTCATGAGTGTCACCCTTACATCAGAGCACCCCCTCACTTGAGTGTCCCCAACAAAATCCCCTTCTATCATAGCCCCTTTCAAAATTTCCCTTACATGGCAGCCCCCTTACAGCAGAGCCTCCGTTTACATGAGTCCCCATCAAAGTCCCTTGACATAAGAATCCTCTTACATAAGCGTTCTCATGAAGTGTAGAAACAATGAGGCTTGATCAAGAATGATAGGCGGTTCAACATTTCGATTGCGTGTACTGTACTGTGTTCCTGATTGGCTGATTCCTAATCTCCATAGAAGTGGTAACTGTGCCATTGCTGGAAAAGCACTGTGTATGCTGGCATGGGCTTCTACAATTTAAAATCACTGTCTAGCCCTCTGGGGAACATTGACATGTTCCAACCCTCTGTTATTTGTTGCAAAAAATGCTAAAATCTGTGCCATTTGGTTGCAGCGATCAAGCCAGATATTGCCACCCTAACCCATAACCACGAATCAGATTTCACTTTTCATCTCATTAGAGCAGACAGCACAATGAAAAGTGACTGCTGATTTGTGGCTTTGGATAATTCCTCTATACATGTTGCACTTTGATTTGTCAGATGTACAAGACACAGTGCAAATATTGGTTTTGGAATGTTGTAATAGTGGCCACATAAAGCAATGGTCTCCAGACTGAAGCCCAGGGGCTGGATGCAGCCTTTGCTTTATCTGACCCTTGGGGTATTATTCTTGCAACAGTGGGGCATAATTCCTGCCACTGACACTGGTGCACTATTCCTCTCACATATTTCAAGGGTTCCTCTGTGTTGAAAACGGTTGAGAGAGGCTGGTCTAATGGGTGAAATTTTTATTTCAAGGGTGCCTTTGGGATAAAATGGTTTGGGAAGGCTGCAGTAAACAAACTTAGTTGCTCTGAAATGGTCACAGTGTTGCCTTATTGAATAAGCCATGTTCTTGTTCTGGAATAATCCATGAGCTTGCTGACATTTTAAACATTGATCAGTCTTGCTGACACTGTCCCCAGCATTCTGACCCAATCTAACCAAAGTATTTATAAAATGCTTTGTGATTGCATCTTTGTATTTAGTAATATTTTTGAAGAAATGCAAATTAAACAATTAGCGGTCCTCACTTTGTGTAGATGGTGAGCTAAAAGTCAGACTCGATGGATCACTTGGTCTTTCTCTGCTACCTGTTGAGTTTATAAGAGCGGCAGCAAAGCATTGCACAGTAACTGTAAGTCGGATACTACAAGGATAGCCATAAACACAATTGACACAGATTGAAAGATATATAATTGTTTAAAAATCTTTCCAGACATTTTGTATAATTGTTTGAGATAAATATGAATATTTGTGCAGTGAGAAGACACCCCAGCCACTGTCGGTAAATGTCATATGAGTTCTCAATCCAGACGTTACTGGCGTGAACAAATCTTTTTATTGTCTTGGAGACCCGTTACACTCAATTCAATCCAAAACCTTTTATTTAGCTTTGGGCAGAGTGGGGGGAAAAAACCAATATTTTTGACTTTTTGCTATTAAATGTCCAATAAAAATATTTAAAACAAATTTTGTCCTAAATTTAGGCCAAAATGTATTCTGCTACGTCTGTGCTAAAAAATAATCCCAATACGTGTAAATTGCTTACATGAAAGTTTTATAGCGTCTACAAATGGCAGTAAATATACTGTAATTTAATGAAAAAAATTTTTTTTATACCAGTAATGGCGGCGATTAGCGACTTATAGTGTGACTGCAGCGAGCATTCTGACACTGGGAGGGAGCTGTCACTGACATCCCCAGTGAGACTAATACAGTGATCAGTGCTAATGAAAAGCACTGCCACTGTACTAATGGCACTGGGCACGAAGGGGTTAACGTCTGGGGCGATCAAAGGGTTAACTGTGTGCTGTTTTACTGTGTACTGTATTTTACAGTGTAAGCTCACTGCTTTGTATTGCTCTGCTATGCAAAGCAATACAAAGCAGCGTGCGGGAGCGGACGGGGGAGAGATCTGTATTGTTTTCATGCAGACCTCTCCTCCATCAGTGATTCTTGGCGATTGTCGGGTGCCGATGGGGAATCACCGGCTGGGACCCGGTGATTGACCGTTGAAGCTGCCAATAGCGGGGCAGGTAGGCCACGCTTGCCCTTACTTACACGGAAAAGCAAAGTGTGTGTGTTTTTTGATTTTTTTTTTTTTTTTTTTTTTTTTTTTTTTTTTATGCAGCTGTGCCACCCTGTAGCAGTATTTCCGCTATAGGGTGACTGGCAAGCAGTTAAAATATATTTTGGTTCATAAGAAATATCTGGTGATCCTTGCCTGCCATCTCCTGTGCTTTCCTTGGTAGGGTGGTAACCCTAATCCAATTTATCCTCAACTTTTTTATTGCAACTTTGAAACTCAGAATTCAAATTTTTAATATCAGAATTCTGACTTTAAAAGTCAGATTTTTATCAACATGAAAGGCTAATAGCCATTAGAACAGCCTCTTGGTTGTCCTTTGAAAAAAATGGGAATGTTGGACTGAATGGTATAAGCGTTGAGGCTGCATAGGTAGTATATCATTCTCTCTGCTCCTGTTATTGACATATTATGATTTTCCCTTTTTGATCTCTTTGTACTTATGGGTGGACTCTATAAAATAGGCCCTTAGTGGCGCACTTAGTTTGAGTTAGAATTTGTATTTGTATCTGCAACTGTATCTATTTTTGTGTTTTTTTTATATGTACAACCTATACTGCATATATAGATCTTTTTCCTCATTACATTTACCATTAATTGTATATTTGGAAAATCAATAAATGTTAAAAGAAAAATAAATAATAAAAAAAGTCAGATGTTTCTTGAATAAATTTTAGGATGGACTCGGGAATTAAGCAGTGGATGTGTATGGGTTGTTTTTGGAGGAAGAGGATATTTAGTGTCACTTTTTAAGTTCTTTAAACTTTACCAGTAAATGTTTTTCCAATTCTTTGTTATAAAATAATAAAAAAAACAAAACTCCTTATTCTTGTACTAAAACAGGGGTCTCCAAACTTTCCAAAGAAAAGCCAGTTTACTGTCCTTCAGACTTTAGGGCGACAAGCTGTGCCCAGTGGGAGTAAGCAATGCCCGATCTTTGGTATTAGAGATAGAAATCGTTTGTGTCAGTGGAAGAAATTATGCTGCATTGTCGGTGTCAGTGGCAGGAATTACACCCCATTGTCGGTGTCAGTGGCAGGAATTACACCCCATTGTCGGTGTCAGTGGCAGGAATTACACCCCATTGTCGGTGTCAGTGGCAGGAATTACACCCCATTGTCGGTGTCAGTGGCAGGAATTACGCCCCATTGTTGGTGTCAGTGGCAGGAATTGCGCCCCATTGTTGGTGTCAGGGGCAGGAATTACGCCCCGTTGTTGGTGTGAGTGGCAGGAGTTACGCCCCATTGTTGGTGTGAGTGGCAGGAGTTACACCCCATTGTTGGTGTCAGTGGCAGGAGTATGCTTCAAGGGCTAGATAAAGGAAAGCAAAGTTTTAGTGCATATTGTTTTTCCCCAGCAGATGGCATTATACTCAGCACAGCATCCAATCAGATTTGTCTCTCTCCTGATTTGAGTTTGGTTGGCAGTATACTGATGGCGATGGACCATTGCACTCTATTTGGTCATTCATCCTTGCACAGCCTGATTAAGCACCTCCAGTAGGGAGGCCTATTGTTCCAGGTCATACCCCCTTCTGCCAGGCTTACATTTATACGTTAACACTTTGGTACAGAGCAATGTTTTCATAAATGGATAACATTCACATATAATCCGGTGACATTTTCCTTCTCATATCTGCCATAAATGACAAACAATATTAGGAAGATGAGTTGCCTGAGGCCAACTGATGCATTACGTTGAGAGTTCTATATCTAGTGGCATTATGTGGTGGTGGGCGTCATTGAAAATGCTAAAGGCTGAGTTACATGCTACATTTTATTTTTTTTTTTTTTTTTTTTTTTTTTTTTTTTTTTGACAATTGCTCCCAGTTTTAACATTTAGCTCTGCAATTTTGTGTAGAAACAGCCCAACATTGTTGTCAGATGGGTGCAATGACTGCTTGGTCTGAAAATTAAAAATATTAAAGCTGATGTTTAATCTGCTTCTTTCTTCTTTTTTTTTTTTTTTTTTTTTTTTAAATAACTAAAAGCCTTTCTATTTCCATTACATGCCTTATTTTAGACCCAGTAAGATAATCACTGGGACTCCATGCTTCTCTATGCATTGCAGGTAGATCATGGCTAGTGGGAGGGGCTTGCAGGGTGCTCCTCTCAAGCTTTGATGCATGCAGTAGCCTGGCTCTTGTGAGGAGCCTTGCAAATGTCACAATGATGTGATGGATAGATCTCTGTAGGGTGGGTGTTACTAGGCAGGCTATATTTGCACGCAGACCACCTTTCTGATGCTGAGCTTCAATGTTTCAAAGAACTGATATCCAATGAATGAAAGGAGCTGGCCAGGTGTAGGCGGGGCCATGAAAAATGTTGCCCAGTTGTTGCTTTTGGTACCACCAGCAGTCCTAAATTCTCTCTGAAAGAAAAATAAAACAATCAATTCAGCATAGCATGCATGGACACCTTGTCACTACATCACTATCACCCTGAGTCCTCCTGACAGAGCTAGGATTCAGTTTCGGATTATGCCACCAATAAAAGTTAGTGTTACTAAACCCAGGACCCTGCATTCACTAGATCTGGTCTCCCCGGACCCTGCATTCACTAGATCTGGTCTCCCCGGACCCTGCATTCACTAGATCTGGTCTCCCCGGACCCTGCATTCACTAGATCTGGTCTCCCCCGGACCCTGCATTCACTAGATCTGGTCTCCCCCGGACCCTGCATTCACTAGATCTGGTCTCCCCGGACCCTGCATTCACTAGATCTGGTCTCCCCGGACCCTGCATTCACTAGATCTGGTCTCCCCGGACCCTGCATTCACTAGATCTGGTCTCCCCGGACCCTGCATTCACTAGATCTGGTCTCCCCGGACCCTGCATTCACTAGATCTGGTCTCCCCGGACCCTGCATTCACTAGATCTGGTCTCCCCGGACCCCGCATTCACTAGATCTGGTCTCCCCGGACCCTGAATTCACTAGATCTGGTCTCCCCGGACCCCGCATTCACTAGATCTGGTCTCCCGGACCCCGCATTCACTAGATCTGGTCTCCCCGGACCCCGCATTCACTAGATCTGGTCTCCCCGGACCCCGCATTCACTAGATCTGGTCTCCCCGGACCCCGCATTCACTAGATCTGGTCTCCCCGGACCCCGCATTCACTAGATCTGGTCTCCCCGGACCCCGCATTCACTAGATCTGGTCTCCCCGGACCCTGCATTCAATATATGTGGTCTCCCACAGAACATGGAAATGCAATTATTTTAGTAAATATAAACTGCTAAATACCTTTTCTCATCAGCAGCTAGAGCAGTCTTGTGACTTCTATCAATGTCCAGCAGAGCACGGGTTAAAGCTTGTAGGAGGAGTTTTTATTCTTCTTTCACTGCCCTATAAGATTGCAGAACCCCTGACCCTCTGTTTGGACAGTGCTGATTGGTCCTGTGCTGATCACATGCTCTCTCCAAAGGGGAAAAAAAAAACCTCTAGCAATACACACCAAACTGAGCATGTACAAAATACCTACGGTTCAGTCTGTCTTATCAGGAGATAAGAGGTGGTCGCTTGAAAAAGGGGAGGAACAGAGAAGTCAGGATCAAACCACCTTTTTACACAATGCAGAGAATTAACCCCTTAGGTTCCACAGTGAGTATAACAAGCATGCTTTGCTCCATATACCAACTGATTTTACTGTTGTGGGTTTAGTAACACTTCAAGAGACAAGTTCAGCTTGCTTTTCAACACTTTATTTGCTGTAAGGGCAGGACATTCCCAATCTTAATGCCAAAGTCTGGTTTCTTCATTTTTCCCGTAATGGCAAACCTTTGTCCTGCCCCCAGCCTTAAACCCAACAAAGGGATCCAGGACCCCAAGGCATTCTCCGGGTGGGGAACACCAAGCACTTGGTGGACTACATGGCGTGTAGAAAGGCCTCACCGTGTCCCCTGGGGGCAAATTCCAAGATCTGCTTCTTCACTGCTTCAACTCTACGCCTGAATTCTCCTAATTCTTGTGTGACCTGTCTAAGGGAAAGACGCCACCTAATGGCACAAACAGGAACTCCTCCTTACGCTGGGACAGTCAGGCCGGGGAGGAGTGGGTAGATGATGCCGATTGTCCTCCAGAAGCTCAGTGTGCAGTGATATCAGAATAGCCAATTTCAGTAAAGAGGAACCTGTAGAATCAGGGCCATGGATAAGGGGGTACCACCAGTCCTCCATTACGGGTTCCAGGCAGCTTGGTGACTTGGATGTGGGCAGGGAGGGTGATCAGAATGGCGGCGGGTGATGGGGCAGTTACAGGAACCGATCCCCTGTATGGCTTCTCTGCAACAGCTGAACGCTGGCTTTTCTCTCCTCTCCCTCCTTCTGTCTTTCAGCTGCTGCAGAGCTAGTCATACAGGGAATTGGTTCCAGTAATCCCCTCCCCAACGCCCCCATCACCTTCCCTGAGCACTATACATTTCCCCCTGCTGCCCAGTGACCCCTCCACCGCAGTACTGCAGGCTTTCCTCCTCCTCTTCCCACCGGCAGCTGCAAGCACGCAATAGGATCCTTCAGTACAGAGTGGGGGAAGGGTCCGGTAAATATGTTGCATTCACAGCATGAACACGAGTGATCGGTTCCGACCACTCAATGTGTTCATTCTTAACTGATGCATAGTAAACTTAGTGAGGGGGCCTATCAGGTTGGCTGTATGGGGCCCCCTGGTTTCTAACAGCAGCCCTGCGTACAACTGCACAAGATTGAGGGGAAGGCTAGAGGTCCACTTTAATAATACATCTCTTAATCGATCTCTTAAGGGCTCGTTCACACTTGACTGTTTTTCCAACTCTTGCCAAATGCCCCTATAGCGTTTGTCAAGCGTTGGTCCGGCGCTTGCACAGTTTAGCGGCGGTTGCTAGGCGTTTGCCAAGTGTTTTAAAAACGCCCCACAAACGCCTATAATGAAGTTTGGTGTTACCGCTCCGCAAACGAACCGCAAGCGCCGGCCGGGCGTCTGCGGAGCAGCACCATAGACTTGAATAGGAGGCTTCAACTCCTGACTCGACCAGAGGTGCCCATTTTTACGCGACGCTAACGCTCCCGTTTGAACAGCACCATGTGCGGCAATGTGCAGAATTTTCCTAGGTGTTTGGAAAACGGTAAAAACACTTCCCAAATGCCTGTCTGCCGCTTGCAAACAAGGCTAGTGTGAACGTAGCGTATGTGATCTGCTTCCTGAAAACTGAGTGGCTGATATGCATTACTATAGTTATCGCCTGAGTCTGTGTTGGCATTGTGTGAGCTGGGAGAGGGGAGATTTAGCAGCAGGGTTGTCAGGAAGGGAAAAACAGAGCTAAACAGGATTTTGGATTAAAATGTATATGATTTTTGGATTACATAGGTGCACTAAAGGTTGGGTCAGATCATGACTTTTAAAGGCGAACAGTTTGGGGATTGCCTATAAAATATACTGGTGAGAGGTCTAATTTTCAGGGCCAAAGTTCTAAATCTGGAACATTTACTGAACTGCCCATCGAAGTGTTTGTAAACCCTTAAATATACCCAGTGAAGTGGCACAAATAAAATAAATCCTCCTACATAAGCTGTACCTGTCTTATCTTCAGTCCTCTTTGAACATCCGTTCAAAGGCCAGAATTTTAAAGCTTTTCTGAGCTTTTAGAAATCGGGATCTGAAATTACACACTACAGAGCTCAGTGAGGAGCGCTCTGAGAGCTGATTGGAGGGAAAGGATACCCCCCCTCTACATGGCACACATGAACAGAGCTGAGGTTGTCAATCACAGGCTGTGTGCTGGTGGTCCTCCCTGATCACTTTGATTTTCTCTTGGTGTCAGTAAAACTTGTCAGAAGTGACTCCTGCCGATAGCAGATGAACGGGGCAGCAGACCGAAATAACACTTGGTGCTCTTAATTGAAAAAAGCACACACTATACAGGGATATGCTTTGTTCTCATTTCACGTCTGATATTTACATCCGCTTTTAAAGTGGTTGTAAAAGCTGAAGTTTTTTTTACGTTTTGTGCATTCTGTGTATGAAGGTAAAAAACCTTGTGTTCTGCTCCCCGCACAACCCCCACTAATACTTACCTGAGCCCCTCTCGATGTGCCTCAGCTTTCCCAGGTCTCTTTCTTTTCTCATTAATTGAGACAGCAGCGGGAGCCATTGGCTCCCACTGCTGTGAATCGCAGCCAGTGAGGCAGTGAGGAGAGGGGGTTGAGGCCAAACCGCAGCTTGTGTATCATAAGGACGCATAGAGCTCATCTGAGGAGCGAGCACGCACCAGTTCCCTCAAAGCAAACAGCTTGCTATTGGAGGCACTAGTCAAGGGGGAATAGCCAGGAGTGCCGGTGAGGGACCCAAGAAGAGAAGGATTGGGGCTGCTCGGTGCAAAACCACCACACAGAGCAGGCAAGTATGACGTGTTTGTTCAAAAAAACAAACAAACCTTCAATATCATTTTAAGCCCTGGTTCACACTGATGCGGTGCGGAATTTGCAGCGTTTTCTGTGTGAATTCCACATTGCATCAGCATCGCACCCTGTTCATGCGAACCGCTGCGTGTGTGTATGTTAAGTTAACACCACCCCGAAAGCGGTCCGCAAAACACTGTGCGATGTGCAAAATCGGATCGCATAGGTGTGAATACCCATGCGATCCGATTCTAGTGCGGACCCAAAAAAGGGTCCTGCACCTTTTTGGTGCGGTGTGAATAGAGCCATACAAAATGTATGGCTCCAATCACACCGCACACAAATCACATGTGATTTAACTGGTATTTGGTGCTGTTCCTGTGCGAATCACAAATGCGATATACCGCACCACATATATGTGAACCCGGGCCAAGTGATGTAAAGTGGACCTATACTTAAAAAGTGAAGATCTGCTCTCTTATAGGGAGTATTTAGGTTACTTTTTCTTAAACTGCTTAAAAAATCGACTACTGTAGTGCTAGTTTTATTATGGACCGTGGTAGATTGTAAACTCTATTGGAGGCAGGGACTGGTATTAAGGATTTTATATCATCCTTGAAAAGTAACTCCATTTTTGTTGAGAGAAAAAAAGTCCTTTCTGGGTAATCCAATGTACATTGTAGGGTAATAACAAATGTTGTATCTGATTCCTGCCGGTTTCTGCTTTGAAAAAGAATCTGAACAGGAATGACTTTTTCATTATTTATCATCTGTTGCACTCTGAGGAAAATGAAGGATCTGTATTACTTTAGAAATGATTAACTCTTTGCAAGAAAAATTTAATTTTTGACGAGATAATTTCAAAGGAGGCCTAAAATCTGACTCTTGCATCCTAGTGCAGACTTCTGGAAAAATCGGTGAGCCAATCACACAAGCGGGAAATGACATTTCGGAGGTGATCTATAAACAGGTGTACAGGACGCTTCCAGGTTGCCATATTTTGTTGAATTGTACAGAAAATGCAGCGCTGCAGATTTTTTAGTAACTTTCAATTACAATGACTTGTGTAGAAATATACACTAGATTTCTTTTTTTGCAATTTTGTTTTTTCCCAGGAAAGGTGAAGTTACCCTTTTTAAATGTTTTTATATATCCTAAATATAAGAATGACTTGCATTTTGTTTTAAAAAAAAAAAAAAAAGCCTTTAGTAAGTGTACTTCTAATGTTTTCAGTTTATTATGAGCATCCTGCACTATTTGTCTACAGACAGTAAACCAGTTTTCAGTTACTGCTTTGGAAAATGTTCCGCAATGGAATGCACCATCAGATCGCGGTGGATAAAACGTGCACAGATCTGA